ATATAGGGTTTTACATGTTAATATAAAAAGATATTACAAGTTATTACAGAATCAATAACCCTCTAAAATACAACATTTGAAATAAAACCTACGATTTTTTGATTCAATCTATATAATAGTCAAGCAAAAGAAAAGAAGACCGAACAACGAAGAGGCCCTCCAAACGATTGTAAAGCCAACGATGAGTCAAACCAAAGCACGAACCCAAACAAGACACCCCAGATGGACAACAACAGACCAACAAAGATGAGCATAAAAAAAGATGCAAAAAGAGAGACCAAACCGAACAAAGCCAACGAAACAACTCACAGCCGACAAATACCAAGCAATTAGAAGCCCCAGACAACAAGATCACATAAGCTCCAGGTTGCAACAACATGCAGGGAAGGAAATAAGAAGCAACAAGCCAACCAACATAAACTAAACCAACCGACTTGAGTTGTTCTTACAACAAGGTTGGAATTATTTTGATGGGAGTTAATAATTTGATATCCCTTCTTATATTTTGACAAAATTTGATAATATTATAGAAATATGAGATGTCACACCTAAGAAATTCATTGATGTGATCATTAGTGTCCTACTACCTTAAATAAATAATGGAGATCACATACCAAACACCATTATATAATTTTATGGTTCAAGAACTTTTATTTTATCCAGTGAACGTACGCTCCTCTACGTTCGGTTTTAGACCAAAACAGCGCAATACCGAGTTTTTTTAAAAAACTCGGTACTCGGTATTGCACTGTTTTGGTCTAAAACCGAACATAGAGAAGCGTACGTTCACTGGATGTAATAAAAGTTCCTCAGAAAGAGCTTCAGTTGGATTTAGTGCTTTTGTCACTTCCTTTAATAAAATACATGATCCAAATAATTCTTATAAAGGTCTCAAAACTCCATAGTGAAGAAAGTTGTAATGGAAAAAGGTCAATTCTTATATATATATATATATATATATATATATAGACATTAACTAATTCAGGAATTGATAACAGACCAAAGACTGCCACAGGTGACCATGAAACAATCATATAAAGGATAATCAATAGTTAAATACAAAAGTTATAAATGTTTGCTTCATGTATCAAAATTACGAGAGAAGCAACTAGACATAAGTAGAGAATATTTTTGTTCAACTGTTCGACAGGACAAAGTGGAGGAAAAAAAGAAAAAAATTATCATCGCAATAAACATGAGGAAGTTCGATGACACTTAAAAAAGGCCTTTATTCTTGATCTCGTCGCGATCCGGCTCGGGCGGGATCCGTCCCCGTCGGGTCGGGTCGTGACAATTATTCACAGTTAAATTCTAGTTCAACAAAATCTATCAAATAATCAAATAGGTATATTTGACATATTTATGTTTGGTTTAGGATGACTTCCTTACTGTTTTTTAAAGTAATTTTTAGTACAAATTTAAATTTTTATAATATAAAAACTTCTTAAGAAAGCCGTCCCTAACGATTCCTTAATAATGCTTACATGTGGTATGATCAGTGAACGTCTTAAGTGTTGGCCCGTGTAAATTAGTGTAGGTTGCATGTTAAGTCGATCGGGATTTACACTGGCATAAGGACAGTGCTTCCTCATCACAAAATAATAATAATAATAATAATAATAATAATAATAATAATAATAATAATAATAATAATAATAATAATAATAATAATAATAATAATAATAATAATAATAATAATAATAATAATAATAATAATAATAAAAATAATAATAATAATAATAATAATAATAATAATAATAATAATAATAATAATAATATAAGGTTTGTATATATCTCCGGGAGATGTAAAAGAAGTTTTGATTCCATAACCCAACTCAAGGCGACAATTACGGCAAATCCTTCGGCAAGCAAGACTCCATTCTCCCATTCTATTTAGTATTTTCCTTCGGGTAAGACATTCAAACATAAACATAAGAGTTGAGCCTTTATGGCCGCCTAATTAGTCCGTTCTTTGAGATTTTTTTCTCAATATTTTCAAAACAAAAAGTCAAATATTTCTTTTATTTTTTCAAAATAAAATTTGTGAATATAATTAAAAATTTGTGCACTTTGTGAATATAATTAAAATTTTTAATGTTGTCTCATAAATTTTTTGTCATGTTTATATTTATGAATGTCCTTTTTAGCAGTCAGGATCAGATCTATTATTTCATATGCATTATATTTATGAATGCTTAATATTTTAATTGTCGTTACCTTTCTGTTGTACAAAAATTAAGAATTTTTTCCAAGAAAAGTTCATATAATTTTCTAGAAATTAAGATTTTATTTGGGATAGTTTTCTTATTACTTTCTAAAACAGTTTTCTATTGCAAAAAATTTTAGTTCAAATAATTTATGTACTAAAAAACTATTTTAGAAAGCTGTCTCAAGTGAAGTCTGAGAAAAAAAAAATTCCGAGATCTTAACTTTATACTTGTTTTTATTATGATTGTATTTATGAATGTAAAATAATTTAATTATATTATCTAATAGCTATATTTGATTTTTTATTTAGTAGTATTATTGACAATTTAATTATATCGAGGAATAATACTTGATGCATGAAATGTCTATATTTCTTGTACAAGATGATATTCTTTTTTTTTTTTTTAACTCATCATGATGCCACAAACTCATCAAGATATTATGATGTTATTTTTTATCTACTTTGATTAATTATGCTTTAGTAATTATTCAAATAATAATTATGATTAGGTTGAATTAATTCTCGATCTGGTTGTTTGGGCCTTTGTTTGGTGGCTCGTGGGTTTGTGATGTTCTTGTTGTATGGTTTAATTTGCTGAAGGTTTTGTGTTCTATGTATCGTGTGAGCTGAAGTTGTTGTTCTCTGATGGTGTGTTGGATGAGGTTTTCATGGAATTGATGGTTGTTTCTCGGGCTGGTTGTAGGGGCCCGTTCTTTTGTAAGTTAGGTGGCTCGTTGGTCTGTTGTGGGTTGGTGGGATGCAGATGTAGATTCTATGCATTTTCCATTGGTGTTGTTTTTCTTGTTTTACCGTCTTATGTTTTTCTAGCCACTGGCAGGACATTTGCTACTGGCGACTTTCTCTAGAGTTGTTGTTGTGTGAGCTCACCTTATTTCAGATGTCCTTCTCTTGGGTGATTCTCTTAGCAGATTGGCTAATTTGTTGATTTTCTTTCTTTTGGATTGTTTTTTTATAATAGATTGAATCATTGATTCTTAGGTTATGCTTTTAATGTTGTATTTTTAGTGAACTTTTGATTCATTAAAGACTCTTAATCTTTTTTTATTTAACGCGTAAGCCCATTTGAGGGTTTTATAAAAAAAAAAAGGCTTCATGATTTTGTTGTCGTGGACTTTGACTTCCAACGAGCCGGCAGAGATTTGATCAAATTAGTTGTTAATTTTTAATAATTATAATTGAGTTTGCTTCAAAAAAATATTTTGATGTCATTTTTTATTTTTGTAATGTCATTAAAAATATGGTTTTCAGTCTGATTTATGCAATAAAAATGTTCAACTTATAAATTTTCTAATCATTAGAATTATATAAGATTAACCAAAAATCTCCTAATTAATTTCTAAAATAACCTTCCTATAAATTATTCAAAAACTATAGCCGAGTACATATAATGTTCTAAAATATTCCCGACAGAGATTGTTGGGGCTCCATCTCCATCGCCCAGGAGCTGCCCATGAGTGCAAGAATCACATGGAGGACCGAGATTAAAAAATAAAAAAATAAATTCTTCTGCGTATATATTTGTTTTCAGGAATTAAATGAGAAAAAGGTTGGGGGCGAGGGAACAAAGAGTGAAGGGCAAAAGGAATCCGAGTTGATCCAAACACTCAGGACAAAGTAAAGCAATATCTCTTACAAGGATGTGAGAAAAAGCCAGCCTTTTCTCTTTCTATCTCTTCTCTTTCTCTCTCTCTCTCTCTTGTTTCTCTCTCTGTAGCAGAATGGTAGAGAAAAAGTTGAAGGGGGAAGAGCAAGGCATTTGTCATTAAGAATAGGGTTGCAGGCAACGGGCTATGTTGCTCAGACTAAGAGAAAGATAGAAGAAATATAAAGAGAGGGAGATGAGCAGACGGATGAACAGTAATAGCCAAGCAAGAACTTAAAGAGTGGGTGGGTTGCATAAGACAAATAAAATCTTAATAGTTTAAATGGATCATTATTAGGAGAACAGAGATATTAACACTAATGATCTTTTTAATTTTAATGCAAAATAATTTGTCAGATTAAGTACATCACAGCAATCTTTCATCGCACAAGAATCTTTCACATCAACCATCCTTTCTTCGAAAATGTAGGCTTTTAACACCATCAAATTCCCATTCAATAATGTGAATATATATGGGGTTTATCAATTCTTAAATCAAATATCAGTGCAGAAAATGCCACAAACTCACAAACACTTCAAATCAGATCATGGAATAATTATGATAGCAGAGAACTAATACACTACAAGAAAGATTGTAAATTTTTAGTTATGAATTATGACAATCATTTTGGTGTTACAAAGATTTTAAAATTTATTTATAGTCAAAGTTGAAAATTTAAGCTTTGTTTTGGACGGCTTTAAATAAACTTTTTAGTGTCAAATTTTATTTTTTATGTTAAAAAACTATTTTAAGAAGTAATAAGAAAGTCATTTCAAACGAAATCTTAATCTTATTTACTTCAAAGAAGTAATCTATCACTCAAATTTTAAGAAATTTATAGCTATTATAATTATATTGAGAATTCAACTGTTATTTTATTTTATTTTTTTTCAAACTAATATGTGTTTCAATAAAAAAATAAGGTTTTGTTTGATATGATTTTCATTATCTTATTTTACAATCGATATTTTATGAAGGGCGATAAATTATAAAAAAATGCTAAATTTTTCAACCAAAGAAGTCCCAGCATCAATATTTTTTACTGATTACTTTTTCGCGCACAAAGCATATTAATTAGAAAGGTGAACCAACCTCAGCCTCATGGCCCTCATCATATACATGGTGGTGAAAGCTTTGCTAAGGACAAGGCCTATAAATTTCCACCATCACCGCTACTCCTTTGGACCATCTCTTTACTCCAGCTTCCCCTCTTCTTCCTTCCTCTTTTTGTAGATCAGGTTATGGCCATTTACTCGGGTTTTCTTTCTCTCTCTCTCTCTTTCTCTCTCTCTCTCTGTATGTATGTGTCGAAATAGAGAAGAGGTAAGATAAAAGTAGATCAGAATAGTAAAGGGTTGTGTGATAACTTCTTCTTGATGGGGGTAAGGAATGGTAAATTTATCGTTTTGTTCTTGTTTAAGAGGGCAAAGGAGAGGTCGGTGAAGGTAGCAAAGGCTGTGCCTGGCTCCCTGTATGCCACACATATGGTTCACTCTATTCAGATTGGCTATTCTGGGTGGCGTGCGTGGAGTCAAGCACGATTCTCTTTCCCTCTCTCTCTCTCCCTCTGTTTGCTTCTATCTCTTCTGTTTGTGTGTTTGATCATGGTATAGGCAAAACAAGTAGATAAGATCAGTTAACAGCTTTCTATTCTGTGTTTCTGACTAATATTACTTTTATTTTTCAAAATAATGGCTGATGAAAGATTTCACTTTTGAGCAATATTTGATTATGTCTTAACTAAAAGCAACTAACTTAATTTTTTTTGTCATACGGTTATGTACAGGTTAATTTATTTCTAATTCATAGCTGTTTCTGTAATGGATAGTGAAAAGTTCGATCAGTATATGGTTTGACGAAGAAAAAGTAACGAGGTAAGCCATAGTTTGTGTTTGTCTTCCTGTATGCCACACGCACAGATCAATCTCTTAACAATATTTTCTACTGTAAGTGGCGTACGAGGAGCCAAGCATATCCTTACTCTCCCTTTCTCTCTCTACTCTTTTCCTCTTTTCTTTATCTTCTTTTCCTGTATGACAAAGTATACGGGTTAATCAACTTATTGTAATCGCTGTTTGGGTATATTTCTGGTTTTCATGGTTTCATTTGCATATATTTCTGGTCGTTTTTAGTTGGTTTATATATATTTTATGCTTTATAAGCATGATTCCATGTATTCTCTTCTCTTTGTAGAGAGCTCTGAAGACCTTGGCTTCAACATATTATGGCTATATCTTTACCAAGATAAGATTTATAGAACTTGTAAATTGTAATAAATAAATTCCTTCTATTATTGCTCCCTTGCATGCAGCTGAAGGAAATCATTTATTGGCAGCCCTACTTTCCAGATCTTATTCTTAAAATATTGTAAAAATATGAAGAACAGATACATTTGTTTCGACATTATACTTACCGGATCTTTCCATCTCCATTTCAAATCAATCTTTTAGTGACTTCTAAACAACATGAAATGAAATATAATTATTTTGAAATGAAATGAACAAAGTTCCTCTAGGATTTGCAACCTTCAACATCTATCTCTTCTAGCCTAGCTACGACCTACGTACTCTTGAATCATGCATCTATTCCTATGAAATGATGTGGAGATGAAAGCTAAGGTTTGAAAAATCTGAGCCACTCCTTTTTGAAAGATTCTCCATAATTGGTAGTGCCAGTTCATATAAACTGCATATACAGTTTGGATACTTTATGCATGTCTGTACATATTTCTTCTTCCTCATCGATCTCTTTAAATGTTTTGTCAATCCATGCACAATTTCTTGTAGGTTACAGTAGCAAACCTTTCTATATTCCTTGAATCTTTAACTGCAAACTTAAAGATGATTATATTATTATTTTGTTTATCACTTGTTCAAGTTGATAACAGTTCTGATTATATAAAGATTGTTCTTAATTTTTGATTGGTAACTAAGTTTTTTTTGTAATGCAAGAGTTTTGTTGTTTGATTTGGTTGTAGAAGAATTTAGTTTAAGTAAGATATATAAATATTTGTGAATTAACCAGTCAAGAAATTTTAGTTATGTTGGAGAGAATCGAATGACAGATTCAATAAAGGAAGGTTAAATGACCAACTTGTGGTAAATTATGGGAAGATTCTTTAGGGATCTATCCAATGAAATGGTAAAATATCAAATTTATACCTGCTGGCTACTGGAAAATCGACAATATCTGTCGTAGTAAAACGGATGAATGAAATATTTTTATTCTGAACTTCCTCTATTCTTTAATCATTATTTGTAAGGTACTTTTGATCTAGCCTGTAATAAATTATGGTACTTGATTTAAATGAGAACATTCGATCAGTTGCTTCTTTAATTCCAAGAACCTTTTAAGTCATGTACATAACTGCAACCAGCTAATATGTGGAGGACACTTACAAGAGCTACTATTTGAAGTTAGCTCGAGGCTTTGTTTGTGACAATTTTTTTTGTTATTTTCTAAATAAAATTTTAGTATACAAGTTTTTGAGTTAAAATTTTTTATATTTCATATAGCAAAATCTTTTATAAACTAATGTATAAGTATATTTAAATTCTTTTTATTTACAAAGGAGAAACAAAGTGAGGATTTTCTTATTGCAATTGATATTTAGGTATCTTATAGTTCGAAATATATGCTAAATAATTCTCTGCGGTGGATAATATACAGATGTGACCAACTATATCATGGTAGTATATTTTAAAATGATATATTTTAACCTTTTTTGTAGGTTGCGATATAGAAAAGAAATATTATAATTTATACTTTGAATGTAGTAAATGTTCAGTAATCTTAACTGAATTGTTCATAAATATAGCAAATATATTTAAAAATTTTAGCTCTTAGCCCGTGAGCATTAAAAAAGAATGAGTTATGTAATATGCAATATACAGTAGACGGTGGAAAGCTTAAAATTTCAATATTTTCATTAAGATTGAAATTTAATTATAATTCAATAATAAAAAAATTTTGCAACATTCTCAATTATGGGGTTGCAAAACATCCATTGTATGTACATTGCATATTATATGACATATTCGTCTTTGATCCACACAATCTTATGGGCTGAGAGTTAAAAGTTTTAAATCTATTTAACATTTATTTAGCAATTCAGTTAAGGTTGATGAACGTTTACTATTTTTAAAACATGGATTTTGTTGTTCATTTTCAATATCATAACCTACAAAAATAAATTAGAATGTATTATTTTAGGATATATCAATATCACCTAGTTGATCATATTTGCATATTATCTATGTGAATTATGTAGCATATATTTCGGAGTATGATATCTTAATATAGATTGCAGTAAGAATATCAACATTTTATTATTCCTTAGAAAATAAAAAATTAATTTCATATATTTAGACAATAGTTTACAAAAAGATACTGTACATGGAATCAGTTTATATTAAAATAAAAGTTACATATGTAGTATTTAAAGTAGATAAAGTTCATGATTTGTTCTCAAATCAAAATTTATATAAAAATATTTATTTAATAGTTGAAAGGATCAAATAGCTTCAATTTTTGTATGTGTTTGAAATTCAAAAATATAACATCATTCTCTTTTCAACCATGAAAGCAACTAACATTATTCTACCTTTATAGTAGCCTAAAAAAAAAATTTAATACGTTCAGCCTAAAGAGTTATCACCAGTAACAATAAAAAAATGTGAATCATAAAATAAAATATCAAGATTAAAATTGAAATAATAAGAGCTAATACCTTCATTTTTGTATGCTCTTGAAAGTTCATGTAAGAAGCCTAACTTAGAAGTGGGTAATACTAAGTCTACATGGTTGAGTGTTAATTTGAGTTGTGGAGATAAATGAGAAGTTCCATTAGACACAAGTTGCACGCGATACTACGTTCATCAAGCTTGGATCAGATACAAGATGTCATTAGCAAGACAAGAAGGGCAAAGCCATCATCTGAGAACTCGAGTGATTCAAGAGTCATGTGTGACAAAGCTTCTAAAAAAATAAAATAAAAAATAAATTAATAAATAAAAAAATATGTGACAAAGCTTTTACACTACTTTCTGTTCCATCTCAACTCAAACCATTCGACTCACCAGTCAGCGGCTCACAGAGCCGAACGATTTGAGTTGAGAGTAGAGCAGAAAGTAGTGTAGCAGCTTTGTCAATGTGGAGATTTCTTGTATTAGGAAAAAGAAAGCCTTAGAGCCCTTATATCACCGTCATGAAAACTATGCATGCTTTTCAGAGTAATGTAGTTTCGTAGTACTTTTTGGAGTTCCTTTTTTATGTTATATTTGCTCGTGAGATTGTGCGATAAGGCTAACTTAGCAGGAAATAATTTTAAGGCCGCATGAGTGTGAGAGTGAGAGTCATGGAGCCAATAACAAATGGTATTAGAGATAAGTTGAGTAGTAATAGTTCGTTTAGTTTGGAAGAGCTCCAAGATGCCACTATAGGCAAGCAGGGCAAAATGATCTTGTGAGAACTTGAGGGATGTGCTGACAACATTATATGGCCTTCATGGCGATAGTGGCAATAAACATGTAGGGCTTCCAAATAAGTGTTTGGATTCGAGTTGCAGAGTACTGTTGTAAATAGTTGACGAGCTATGAAGTTAGTGTGTACGTGAAGAATGATGACACTTTTAAGCTGTAGCTAAGGCTTTGTGCTAAGAGATGGAAGAGCTCAAGGGGAGCTTACTTGGTAAAGGAAGGAAGGAAGAACATTACACAGTTTGGTTCACTAATGGACGCCTCGAAGATAAAATATTGGACTGAAATTTGCTTCTTTGAGGTTACGGTCAATGCTCTGCAACATGTGAAGAACTTCTCACAATTGTGTTAGTTATTTGTGGAATCTGAATGTGTTGAGGAATTGGGTGTACTGTTGACTCAGATTTCAATTTTATCAGTCGAACTTGATGAGAATCCCGTTGGAGAGTTGTAGAGGAGGTGGCATGTATTTGTTTGGAACAATTATTAGGTCATGTATTTGTTTGGAACAATTATTAGGTCCTCCGACCGGACGTCAGAGCTAAAATCTCGCCAAAAAATGAGAAATACCGAGCAATACCAAACAATAACAAGGAATATTACCATCATGTGAACACCCTATACCTTAGCTATACCGAGTAATACCGAGTTTTTCCTAGAAAAAATTCGGTATTTTTTTTGTATAACTCGGAATTGCTCGGTATAATTCGGTATTGGTCTTCACAGAGCGGTATTCCTCGTTATTACCAAATAATACCTAGTAATACAGAGCAAATACCGACTTTTTTGGCTGGATTTTAATGCCGACCAGACGTTCAATTCCTCTACGTCCGGTCGGAGGACCTAATAATTGTTCCTTTGTTTGGGGGTTCGGAGGCAAAGTTCCCGGAATTTATTTTTTTGTCTGTATAATGTTTAGGGTTTAGTTTTTTTCTCATTTTGAATTTTTCAGGTTAACTCCTGATTTTCTCCGTTATTTTCTTTTTTATTCTTGGTTTACTTTCCAAATTGTGGTTCAACCATCAAACTCCACTAGAGAGAAATGAGAGATATTTATAAATAATTGCAAGCCAAGATTATTTTTGTTCATAAAAATGAAAAATTTTATACATTATTTAAAATTTAAATCAACCAAAAAATAGTTAACTAATTTTAAAAATAAGGAAGAGAAGGGAAGGTTGGTGCAACCTTTTCATGGCATGTGCATGGATTTATATCTTGAAGTAGTGCAATCTTCTTGAGATTTATAAAGTAAAATTAATAATTACTATACTCACAATATTTTTAAGAGCATTTATATTTATGTAATTTTGAGATTTTAGGTCAACCCACTGCATGTTGATCATTTAGTACATGCATGATACATTCATGTTTCCATGGAGATTCAAAGTAGTATGTTCTCTTCCCATTATTTTTTTTTCACAAATACAAATACAATGTTATTAATAAAAATATCAAATTTAAGCCAAATTAAGAAAATAAACTTCATAAATATTTATTAATATAATAATTGAACATATTAAAAAGTACTAGCTCGAATGACTAAAATATAATTTTTATGTAACAGAAGAAAAATATTTATCATTATATATAATTAAGTTTTTTATCTTTGTGATTAAAATGTAAGGAAATATGCTAGTTTATTGATAAGATGTAAGTAATGCTCCTAATTTTTAGTTCATGATAAAATATGAATAGAATTTTTGAAACTAAAATAGCTTATTTTGAACTTAAATTAATAGTTTAATAAACATACACTCATAATAAATTTGTGCATATTTATCACGAATTATAAAAATATAAATTGTACTTAAATTCAACATTAATTAAAACTTAATTAAACTCATATATTATCTTTCTATTTTTTTATTATTTTAAAACAAAAATAAATACTCTTTATCCTTGCACTTATATCATATCTAAATTATTTTTTATCAAAAGAGATAAAACTATTATGATTAAAATAATTATTATAATTAAAATATAAAAATAAATAATTAGAAGATAAATAATAAAAAGTTCCTTGATCTAAGAAATTGAGATATAATTTTTAAATATTTTTAATAGCTTTATAGTTGAACTTTTGATATTGAGATATATTTTAAGTGTAAATATTTTTTAAACAAGCCAATGAGTTGAGCATATGCTACCACAAGCTTGACTTTTTAGCTCATCAAGCTCGGTTCACGAGCTATTTATCAAGCTGAGTTCCAATTTGTTTGACTCGATTCTACCCTTATTTTGTGATGGATAAAATATTTTTAAAAAATGTATAAAATAGAAGTATTGTTTTTATTTATTTATTGCTTGAAAATAAATATATTTGAAAGAATTTAGAAGTTCTTGTGAATTTTAACATTATTTTATTAGTTAAATAACATTCAATCAAATATAACAACTTAATAAATTTTACTATTTTTTTTTTTAAATAAATTTCCTACCTTCAAATAATCAAATGGGCCCTTAGTAAAGAACATGAAAGATGTCACAGAATAAAGACCTATCGCAATGCAAAGGGTTCCTATCTGCTTTAATTTACTCTATTGAAGACTTTGCAATGTGATTGGCTGCAAAAGGAATATACGTAAAGAAAAATCTTTAAAATAATGCAATTAAATTGACAGCAATAATTTTACAGGCTACAGTAAATTCCTAAATGAATTGAACCGTTAATTAAGCTTTATTCAACTTCATCACATTTTAATTAAAAAAAATTATAATTTAATCTGCATGAAAATAATTTAATTTCTATAAATTACAATCAAATCAAAGCAGCCACTAAAATTATTTTGTTAATGAGATAATTTTTTTATTATTTTTCAAATTAAAATCAGTAAAAAAAAATCCCTGTATATGATGGAATAAAAGGGCACATGGGGTGAATGATGGGAGCAAAGTGGTGAAGTACAAAATAGTGAAAAATTTGCAAAAAAATACAAAACAGTAATTAAAATGGAATGATGATTCTCTTGTTCTTTAGCGACTGAGCATGTCACTGTGTCAGTTCTGATAGCCCAAAAGTGAGTGCCCCAAGTTAAAACACCCATCAGTCTTTCTATCCTTCCAATGTCTCTCTCTTTCTATTCTTTTTTTTTTTACTATTTATTTATAAAAAATTTAAGAAAAATTTACATACATACCACTTAATACTATTCTATTTACATATTTAACACCTAAAACTTCAGTATTACATACACACCACCATAGTTCATTTTCATATCAAATATGAGTGGTATAAATGAAATATATAAGTGATAGGAAAGAAATATAAGTAGTATATTTGATATTAAAATAATATAGGATGGTATGCATGTAATATTAAAGTTTTAGGTGTTAGATATGTAAATATGATGTTATAAAGTGGTATGTATGTAAATTCCCCTTTTTAAACAAAAATATATTTAAAATATAATGGAAATCAAATATTTAAATATAAAATTATTATCAATATTTAAAAATTATATATCAAAGTTAATTCATCTTTACCTCTAATTAAGCTTCTCATGAAAATATCATTCTTAGGCTTTATTTGAAATGGTTATCTTGTTTCTTCTTAAAATAAATTTTTAGTACAAAATCTTAATTATTGAACTAAAAAAATTGATTTAAGAAGCAGCAAGAAAGTCATCCCAAACAAAATCTTAACCTACTTTGGCTCAAGCATGAAGTACGAAGCCTTAGAAAGTCAGCTTGTTCTTACTACTCTACTTTGAAAAAATAAGCTTAACTTGCTTTGATCTCTTAGTTAATTCCCTATGTGTTTTCCAATGTGCTTTACCTTTATATATATATTTTGTATAATAAATTTGGTTCTCATGTGCCTAATTTAACGTAGCTGCTTTAGCTTTTGTCCTTTGCTTTGTCACACATAGCAACTTCTTGTTAAATACAATGTTGTAGCAGGAAAGCCACAGAGATGAGAACCTTTAAACTATTTTATGAAATTATATCTCTGTAATGATGCCTTGAAGCCCTGGCTGGCATCTTGTTCTATCTATATGTTGGTTTCTGGAAGGAATAAGCTCTGGGAATTATTTCAATTCAATAAAATGGGATATTGAGAATCAAATAGCTTATGGAGATGGGAATATTTGCTTTAGCATGGGTCAAGTTACTTGGAAACATACAAGACCTGCATTTGACAGTTCATATGCTATTCTTTTTTGCAATGAAAGGTTTCCTGTCTTGAAGATAAAACCAAGCGTTTGCTGCCAATTTTGCTTCATTGTAGTCCAATCATACAAAAGAATAGAAGAGATTATTCTGTGCGGACACCGAACCGGAGAACCGTCCGATACAGCTTGGTACCGAGTTGTACCGATGCTCGGTACCGTCTCTGAACAACGTCTGGACTCCGCACGTAATAATTTGTCAAAGAATAGACTGTGATCACACTCTTAGCCTGCTAAGTTTACTGCTTCCTCATCTCCAGCCACAGATAAATGTTTTCGTCATTTCTAGAAATCCTTGGCATATCATCTCAACTGGATTTTGGCCATGCATGCAAGAGCTGCATATCATGTCCTGTAAGATAAGTATAAGAGAGAGAGAGAGAGAGAGAGAGAGAGAGAGAGATTCTTCTGCCACCTTAAGGCTCTCCTGCTCCCTTGGCAGTGTCTTTGTTATGCACTATGATACAAACTCTTTGGCTAATTGAGGCATAATCGGCTTGTTTCCCTTCTTGGCTCACTCTCTGGAGGAAAAGCTTTAGGAAATGGAGGACCACAATGACCACGTGCAGCTGAGAGCAATGGACCACTAAGTTAATAATAAAACCCTAAAGAAAGAAAGCCACATGGCATTCCCTCAAGAACAAGTGAACAGCTTGGAATACTGACAAAGGAAGAAAGGGAGCAAGGGAACTAGCCAGCCGAGGGAAAATTTATTACGTGCAGCGTCCGGATTCGTCTGAAGACCAATAAAAATGCGTCAAGTCGCCTCAAAAATATATCATGCTCGATACCGAACGCGAAACTGGACGGGAGAACCGTCCGCTGTCCGCACATAATAATTGCTCCAGCCAAGCTGCCTGAAGAGATTTTTTTAATTTTTTTATAGTAACCAATAAATGTGTTAGCCAAACATGTATAAGAATTAAGAAAGGAATTGCCACCTAGCTCAATTGAAGCTATAGAACCAACAGCACAGTATTACTTGCCATGCAGGTGGAATCCTCTTCTGCTTAGTAATGGAGCTCAGGAGCTGTAAAATGCTTATAAATACTCCACGGAGACTATAGAAAAGTATCTTGGTATGTGAAGCAATTGCACCATATTGAATTACTCGTATCAACTGTATTCTCTATTGTGGTCCTTCACAATTTTACTCACTCAGTTCAAAGTTTAACTGAAGCCAGGGCTCACACCTCAGGGGAGACAGCTCAGTAGCGGCAAATGTGGTCCATATAAGAGCAACGGCTAGCTTGAGCTCATAGATTCTCAATTCAAATAACACCAAGAATGGGTCCATGTAGCTTTAGCACCTTCTGAAAAAACTTTGGTTACTATTTCTTTGTACTATTGAATGGAACTTTAAGTGAAGAATCTAATAATACAACAACAACATCAATCCTTTGTCTTACTATGTGGGGTTGGCTACGCGAATCCTTTTTCTCCATTGTATTATGGTAAAAGTCGAATTCTCATTTAAATCTAATAAGGAAATATCATTTCTAATATTCTCTAACCAAGTCTTTTTAGGTCTACCTCTACCTTTCTTAACATAAGTTAAATATAATATCTATACTTTCCTAACCGGGTCATCGGAAGGCCTCCGTTTTATGTGACCAAACCATCTAAGTCCAAAAAAAAAAAGAAGCTTGCAATGAGAATAATCTGTAAGAATTAGCAATTCATTACTTCCCAACAAATATGGACCGCATCAGTAGAATGATGCAATTCATTTCTTTTGGTTTCACTACAAAAATTACATGACTATTTGCATACTTTTGGCTGTAAATTTAAGTTGAAGTTGTTGAATCCGACCTTGAGCCCTGGAAATTAATTTATCTGGTTGGTCATCTTCTTTTGCATTAATTCCGAAACAAGACCAGGCTGGGTGATCTTCTCCAACTCAACATCTTTCTCTCCAGTCAGCATCTTTAAAACGATGGACATGGAGGGACGGAGCTTTGATGCTTCTTGGGTGCACAGAAGACCAACCTTCAAAAATTTGCATGCTTCTTTGATTTCTAGATCATCAGTCAATGATGAGTCTGTCATCCTCTCAAGTTCACCCTGCTTATAATGTTCCCAGATCTGCAAGATGAGGATTACTTGCATGTCATCTGGATGTTGTAAAGCACTTTCCAAAATTCGGACGAAGGCTTCATCTGGGACAGCCTTTTTACTTTTTCTTAAAACAGCTTTTAAGTGCAAAATTTTTAATTTTTATGCTAGAAAACTGCTTTAAGAAACAGTAAGAAAGCCGTCCCAAACGAAACCTAAGAGGCCAGTATGCAGGAACAAATTCTATTATGCGAAAATTATAGAAAAGGAAACCAATTTTATGAAAATGAAAATAAAAATTTCCTGGCCTGTTTATTAGAGGATAATGAATAAGATGAAACTAATTTGACTTCACAAAATCTACCCATTCCCATATAAGCTTTTAGTTATACAAAAGTGTTGTCTTAACGTCAACTCATTTTCTTTAAATTGTTAAATTAATGGTAAAGTCAATCAGTTAAATATGGGGAGCACAAAAGATCATTATATGATTTTCATCGACTTTGAAAAGGCCTATGATCAAATACTATAATAATTAAGCAAAAAGAAAAAAAATTAAAATTATAGGTGAAAGATAATAGTACATCAAATGATGAAGGATATGTATCAAGAAGCAACTTAAATGTAGTTGTGGAGTGTCAAATATTTCTCAACCATAATAAGAGTACAATAAAGATTTAATGCCTTCAGATATTAGCATTGGATGTTAGATATTTCATATGATCCATAACAGTGATACTATTTGTTGATGATATATCACTCACAAGTGAGACTGTTTTTGAACTAAAAGAAAAGTTAAAACAGTTATATTAAAAATATAAAAGAGCTTATGATCATTAGATGTAAAACTTACTTCATGATCTACAATTTTGTTGGTCAATGGGGAAATGAAAGATCACCAATAAGGGTAATTTTTAGGATGCAAATTAAGTAGATAGAGAATTAGGCAAAGATTTTTCTATCATGGAGGATCATATATGCATGGTTCAAGATTTCTCATGAGCACAACAACATGAGTAATTACCCCTCTTGATCACAAATGAACTCTTGATCAAGGATAGTCATGAGACACCAAAACTAAATGTTATAAGTTGAGATAGATTTTTTGACCTCGCTTGATTATCTTGTAAACATTTTATTTTGTAGTGTTTTCTATTCTATATTTGAAGAGATAACGGAGAGAGTAGTGATGAAAGATTTTGTCAAAAACACATGGTTCCATGATCCAATGACGGAACTAAAAAAATTTCTTAAGGGTACAAATTGGGCTTTTCTCCCTAGTCCACCATCTTTGAAAGATGTTTATTGGTGTTGGTGTATAAATCTATAAGAGTTTTTTTCTTTACATTTTAAGGAAAAGAAGATAGATGTAGAGGTAAACCTAAAAAGGCTAGGTTAGAAAATATTAGAAATGACATTTACTTATTAACTTTAAATGAGAATTTGACTCTTAATAGAACACAATGAAGAAAAATGTTTCATGTACCTAATCCTACGTAGTGGGATAAAGGCTTAATGTTGTTCTTGTAAAGAAAAAACGATCATTAGTTCATAAATTAACTCAAAAGATTACGAAAAAAAACATACCTATGTTAACTTGAATATTTGGAAACTGTACATCACATATTAATTTTTATAATAATTCATACATAAAAGCACATCCCAAATCTTTGGAATAAGGCTAGTTCTTATTATGGTAAATAATGTATCTTCTAGATAGGGGTACATCAAAATTTCTTCTAAGAATTTCTAAGAGAAGCTGTCCCTGCACATAAATTAATTCTATTTGGTGAAAGTTTTAATTGTTACATAAGGAGCAATGATCAATTCAAATCAACACAATTTACTGATCATATCACACCTAATGAGTAAGCAAAGACATTATCTTTGGAATTGGTCTTCATGGTGATCTCCCTTGCAATATCCTTCAAACCATCCCGACATATTCCTCGCATAGAGTGTAAATCAAGTTTAGGGCTTCGAGTAATTAAGGCAGCCTTTTATACTCTCTTTTTTATGCACTCCTCCCCTCTAAATCTACCCTTACTTTCATTATCTAGGTTATGTCAGCATACCCAAATTTAATTGGCTAAAGGATTTTCAAGGAGGCCAATTTCATGACAAACCTCAACTAATAAAGAGTTTTGTAACCAATCAAGTACAACAAATATCTCAATGATTTATAAATAAAGCCGTTGGGAAAAAGAATCGCTTTAACCTTGACCATTTATTTGGTCAATAACACGATTTAGGTATGACCACCAAGCTCAAAATGAATTTGCTAGATCCTTACTAGAGAAAGTATCTTTAGCATGATTATTTCTCTGTGGGCTTCAAAAACTTGCACCCCGACCTTCCCCGCACTTTCGGATATTGAGTTCCAAGGTAAATTTACAGAAGGCAGATTGGGTTTGAAGTAAGACACAACCTGAGATATTTCGCCCTCATTTTGCAAGGACTTCAAATATGAGTTCTAGTTTCCTATAGGCGCAATCCCCTATAGTTAATTACCCCTCCCGGTAACGAGAGAGAACTTTCGATTAAGGCTATTCGTCAAACAGTTACGTAGAGATACGTGTTATTTGGTGTATAATAGTAGCATGGCTTTGGGGGTTTGAGAGTTTGATATTTAAGATTTAAAATTTACCACCTTGCACTTAAAACAGATGGTGAGGAAAATGATGATGGACCCGATCAAGATCTCATGGTTCTAACGTCCAATACCATCATGGTTCTTGGTCTACTTAGTACGAGGAGATAGTCGACTCAACCTGATAAAACGATCCTTATTGGCAGCCATGAGTTGCATCGCCCAAGGGAACTTCATTGACCTGGGGTGAATATTTGTCTAAGTGGACAAATTTGAATCCACCTTAGCTAACAAAGGGCTTTATGCTCTATCGAGCATATCTTATCGATTCATATCTCAAGGATTTAGTGTCGTTGGGAAACATGCGGGCTCTGGCCATGACAGCAATTTAGTGGCGTCATTTGGTGACAAACCACCCAGTTAAGAGGGCCCCAGTCATAAATGTTTACCTACGGTGTCATTTACGGTGAAACCATGGTGTGATGTCATTTGGCGGCGAAACTACCGATTAGAGAACATGTGCTATGTTCTTACTGGCAAGAGACGGATTGAGAATGAATACTAGTGATATTCTCGACTAGACATTAACTCTTTGTAAGCTATAGTAGTTTTCAGATTTATCCACCTCGATAAACTATTGCGAATGATGGATGGGCACTTGTGCTTTAAATGTTTGATGATTAGTTTTAATTTTAAATATCTTAGTCTTGGGTATTCTTGGAATTTTAAATTTATGGGCATTTGACTGACATTTTGAAAATTTGAAATTAACCCCTTTGATTGAGATCTACGTTCAACATGGCCATCATCGGGGTATTTATGAGCATTTTATTTATGGATTTAACATTATTGACTTTGTCAACTTGCAGACCAAGGATAAGGTCTATTAAAGCATTTGTTGCTGAATTCTCATTGTTTACACGCCTTGAAGGCCTAATATAAACATATAAAATAAATGTCTCGGTCGACACCACGACCGTACATTTGTCTGATGGTTCAAGCTGTGTCGACTCCTGTCTACTTGCGTAGGAGGATCGGACTTGAACTTAAGTTTTTTATTTGACCTGCGCAGCATACTCAAATGTCACATGTGTACCTACAACATGCTTGTCAGGGCCAATGCGGATATTTAAGGGGCATTTTTGTAATTATCTGTTCAAACTTGTCGACTCTCTTTAATTGCTGATAAGGAATCGAGTTCATTGTCGGCTTTATACTTTTATTTAATGAATTTTTCTTATTATAGACCTTAAAGGCCTAATATGAACTATAAATCAAAATATCCTAGTCGATGCCACAACTTAACCATATAATCGTTTAACGATTCGAGCCATCTCAACTCTTATCCATTCACATGTCGGATGAACTGCACTCATCACTAATTTCTCCATACGTTTTGGCCCCCATTGCTTACAGGCTCAATGCATTTGATTGTATGTTGATCTCAACTACAGCGAGTTGTATGCCTAAGAAGTCTCCTTGCATGGCTGATATGAAGACTATTGTCAATTTCAATCTTGTTGCTTATGAATTCGAGTATATTTATTTTTATACAGTCATGACTAGTTAAATTTTTAGTTATGTAGCTATTATCTGTAGTCATATACTTTAGTGTAGATATTTATTTTAATGAAATGAAAGAAACTTTGCGGATGAGTTTATTTTCAGTATTTGGATATTTTGATAGCTTTGTTGTGAGTAGTTTTATTTGAAACGAAATTGGAAGAGGCTGAATATTCCAAAACTAGATCTAGGGAATTTTCTGTTACAGCTCAATATGATGGGATCTATCCTGACGGGTTGGGGTGTGGCAATTCGGTCTCCCAGATGACCCTTTTTTAAGATATTATATAAGAAAGACCCTCCACATTTGTTATATGTGGGGGAGAGCCGCACACCTATATCTTCATTAGAGCAGTACTTAGAGGAAAGGGACAGGGTGCTGGAGGAGTTAAAAAGACATCTGTTGAGTGCACAACAGATTATGAAAAAGTAGGTGGATGGGCATTAGGAAGGACATCTAATTTGTCATTAGGGATAGGGTGTTCCTAAAGCTGCGACCCTATAGGCCGTGAACAGTCGCCGATAGAAGGAATGAAAAGCTTGCCCTGAGGTACTTTAGCCCTTATGAGGTGTTGGAGAGAATTAGAGCAGTAGCATATCACTTGAAGTTACCCATGACTGCTTCTGTACACCCCATGTTCCATGTGTCACAATTGAGGAAAGTTGTTGAGGATCATGCAGCTAGTTCAAAATTACCAGGAACGCTAACAGAGGACATATAGGTGATTTTGGAACCACTAGAGCTTCAAGCGGTAAGGTAGGATGAGGGAGGACCCAAAGAAGTGCTAATTAAGTGGAAAGACTTACCTGACTATGAGGCCACTTGGGAGCCCTATAACAGGGTGAAGCATCAATTTCCCTCTTTCCACCTTGAGAA